TAATACGCTAACATAAATTTTGTCTCCGTTCGTTTGGCGATTCTACCGAACCGATTTCGAAACCAAGAACACAGTTGGAAAGGCATTTTTCCGTAGATGAGCAGAGTTTTTATGGTTTCACAATTGGTGAAAACTACGGCCAAAACCGTCGTTTAAACATTTTCGAATTGTGTAAAGATGTTGCTGCAACATGTTCAATTTGACATGTTTCGCATGTTGTTTCACTTCACATTCAAAATTAAGCTTTGAATTAAGATAAATATGAAGATGAAGAAATAAATTATAATGATGAAGTCAAAAAAAAAGAAGGCAAAAGTGAAGATAAAGACGAAAATGAAGACAATGACAGATACATAAGAATTAGGGTAACTGAGAGGGTAAGAACATTTCTTGAATTTACGAAGTGAAACTTCTTTAGTGGCAGTTCGTTGGTTGGGAGTAAATTGTCAAATTCAAGGGGAATAATGCACATGGAAATGGTCCTCAGTGGTTTAGCGGTTTGAGAATAAAAACAAAGATGCCTAGAGGTACATGCAAAAACGAAGATCAAAGTAAATTTAAACACTTTAAGGTAAAGGTGAAGAGGAATATGCAAAAATAAAGATAAATATGAAGAAAAGGATGAGGATGAAGATCGCTATTGTTATCGATATAAAACTCGATATTTTTATCGATACAATAATGGATATTGTTATCGGCATAATAATCGATTAAATAATTGATTTTGCTATCGATTTAGTCATTTATATTGTTAACGATATGTACAATAATCGATACTTATGATTGTTATATTTATCGAAGAATTAATTGATTTAACAATCGTTGTATTTTTCTATATGTTTATGGATATTGTTATCGGTATTTTTATTTACAAAGTTATTAACAGGGTTATCGATATTCTAATCGGAACATGGAATGTGATCACACTACGTGACATCACATCACATTTTATCACATGATATGAAGAGACATCACATGGTATTACATCACATAATATGATATTACATCACATAATATGATATCACATCACACGATATCACGTGACATGATATTATATGATATGACCTCACATTATATGGCATGACATCACATGATATGACATCGTATGATATGACATGGCATTACAGGACGTGGCATCACATGATATGACATAATATGGTATGACATCATATAACATGACATCAGAGGATATGACAACACATGACATGACATCTCATCACATCATATAAAATCACGTCACATCTTATTACGTCATCGTACCTCATCTCATCTACGTGAATAGATAAAGAAAAGGATATAAGCAAAGATGAGAAAGATAAAAACAAAGATGAAGACCAAATAAAGTTACCGATTTCGAAACCAAAAACACAGTTGGAAAGGTAATTTTCTGTAGATGAAGAGAGTTTTTATAGTTTCGAAATTGGTTGAAAATCGTCGTTTAAAAATTTCCATATTTTTGTATGGTTGTTTTGCAACCTGTTCAATTTAAGCTGTTTCGCATTTTGTTTTACTTCGTATTTGAAATTAAACTTTGAAATAAAGATAAATATGAAGATGAAGAAACAAGGGATAACGATGAAGACAAAAAAAGGCAAAAGTGAAGGTAAAGACGAAAATTAAGATAAAGGCGAAAATGGAGACAATGCGAAATACATAAGAATTAGGTTAACACAGTTGAAATTTTCCGATAGGAATCGAAATAAAATCAGCCATAAAGGTTACTGAAATTTATCGAATCATCGAAGCTTATAATTATCGAAATTTATCCATGCTTATTAAGTTATCGCAACGTATCGAATTATTCAAACTGATCAATGTTTACTGAGTTGTCGAAATTTATAGACACAGAAACTCAGTTGTACAAATTTACGGATAGTTATAAAAACGTGTGGGATTACGAAATTTGTCAAGTTAAAGAAATGTATCAAGTTATCGATATTTATTGAATTATCATTATTTATAGACTTAACGAAATTTATCGAGGTGTCGTAATGCATGGAGTTCTTTCAACTTACAGAGTTATCGATAATTATTGATCTACTGAAATTGGTTGGTTCAACGAAGCGAAGAAGAGTGTAACGAGTTATCAAAATGTTTAGATAGTTTTCGAAAAATGTGGAGATGTCAAAAGTAAAAATTTATAAAGGTATCCAAAGTTTTTACATATTCGAGTTATCGAAATTTATCGAGCCATCGAATTTCACAGTCATCGAAATTAGTCGAGTTAACGAATTTTGTTGAGTTATCGAATTTTAATGTTCTTGAAATTCATCGAACTATCGATATGTATCAAATCATTGAAATTTATCGATAAACTTGAATGTATCGGGTCAATTCCAAGTCCTGCCGAAGTCCTCCAATGAGCTTCTCAGATAAAAAAAAATTTAGTTACGTTTTAGCAGAAGATTTTCCGGTTAGTTAATTTGTACCGTATAAGTTTTGCTACATGTTAAGTTAGAAAACCTTTCCAAGGTTTCTAAAACTAAAAAAACTGTCGAATTTCGACAGTACCTGGCACTCTAGTTAAATTAAATTGTTGACTGTTCGTCGTCTTAACAGATTTTTAGCTGATTCCGAAAATGCAAGTTGATCATTTCTATCTTGTGTCAATGTCAAAGCCTTGTTGTTGTTGTTGTAGCGGCTACCCAGCCCAGCCTAGAGACCAAGAAGTTGGGTTATTCATCGTCGGAATTGGTACGCCATGAGTGTAAATTCTCAGCTGAAGTCTGACCTCCTTTGTCCAGGTGGTAAAAATGAAATATGAAATTCATGAAATCGGTTTAGAAAGTCTTTTATTTATAAAATGACATGACCAAAAATGAATATAATGCCTTCAGGGTAATAATAAATAACACAAATCACTTATATGATAGTGATGAACAAACAATTTTCTTTAAAAATATTCATACTTTTGAAAAATATTTGTATAAACACATTTTCTAATAGGACTGCGCAATTAATAAATTTATTATAACTCTTATTAATTGATTAATCGCACAATCAGAGCTTGAATCGTAACATCCGTTCACGGATAGAAAACGACATGAAAGAAAATTACGTGATACGTCGGTCAGTATAAGCTGAATGGGACAAAGGGTACGATCACGTATGTCATAATCCGAAAAATGTATTTTTACGTGACGAGTAGTGCGATATCGTATGTGACGATTCGAGCCCGGTTTTTAAGCACTCGGCGCTAAAAATAAATTAAAAGCTATAAAAAGGCTCGATCAGCTATTTCCACTAATGAAATTGCAAATTTCACATTCAGCGGGAGTTGCCACAAGTGGTGGTTTAATATTGGCAAATGTTCAATATACTACAACAAAATCGATAACAATAAAAAGTGTTGCCACATCAAAATCAAAGCTCTAACTCCATAACCTACTCATCACGTGTTTCGACGCATTTACATGATAGCGCACAAAAATTGACTTGAAGGGAAAAAATCGCCAAAAATCCCCATAAATTTTTACGCGCAAATATACAAAAAAAATCGCCAAATTGGCGCTACATCGCCCAATCTGGACAGTGCATTCACACCAGCGTTCGGACTACTGAAAATCGATTCGGGAGTTTTTCAGTTCCTCACATTTTTTCTATACTAACGTATTATATGCATGTATTTATTTATTATTTGATTTTGCATGGGGAAAAAAATTTCATCCTAGGAAACGGGGCACCCCCTCAGTTTTTTCCTTTTGATATTTGTAATATCTATACCAACTTTCAGTTTTCTACTGCAACCAATACGGGGTGCTCAATGACCTTGAAATGCGCTACTGGATCGTTGTGAAACTGGCAAAAATATTGGTGATTTTTATAAAAAAGCTACTGTTGCCATGACATCTGGAGCTTGTGATATTTTAAATTTGAAATGTTTTGGCTACTTAACCAATTGTTTGATTAATATATCGCACACCGTCTTCAAAAGAGTCACAACTCAAAATAATACGTTTGTCAGAAAATGCGAAAAACTATTTCTTAGCACATGCTAATCATATGGGCAAGATCGACTTCACCTTAGTTTTTTTAACAAATTATAACAAAAATTTGCTCCTGCTTTTGCTGAAAGGTAAATAAAAGCTCTGCGTACATTTTTAGCGCATAATCTCAAAATTGCCAAATTTTGAGTTGTGACTCTTTTGAAGATGGTGTGCGATATGTACACAATACTTCTAGAGTAAAATATGAGCATTCATGACCCTGCAGGGAAACCGCGGACTAGTGAATCAAATTTCTAGTTGCGTACTAGGTCTTCATCGCCAAAAAGGAACTAGTCCGATAGGAACAAGATCCCCACCAGTCCACAATCGGCGAAAAGTGGTACTTTTAAGAAACACATTTTTTTCAGTTTTTTTCACTAGAAATCTATATCTAAAGTGACGAATTTAGAAATGGTTCGGAACTATAGAAACAGGGATGCAAAACGACCTAGATCCTATTTGTCGAATTTAGAACTATTTCGGAACTATCGAATAAGGGATGCAGCGGGGGGCTTGTTTATTTAACATACATATGTGTTCGGCGGTTTTTTCGTTCAAATACGCTTCTATTCTGTGCTTCGCAGATGCTTTTTCATAGCCTGGTAATACAAAACTAAAATTTGTGTTAACATTTCAAAATCTTGGGACGGTCTGGAATCTAAGATAACAGCGAGCACCTCTGCAAACTCAGCTCTAGCTAAAGGTATGTAAACTTACATTTCTTACAATCATTCAAACAAATTTAATTTCAAATTTAAAACACATTTCTTCCAAAATAACTTAAAATCGCACACACGAAAGAACCAAAAAGATTAAAAAATCATAATACTTTTTTCTTTCGTCTGTCGATTTCAGAAATGGTTCGGAACTATAGAATTTAGGACTAGTTCGAAACTATCGAAAAAAGGGATGCAGCGGGCGGCAATTGACACTTCCTAGGACATCGCCATTTTAAATTCGCCAGTTGCTTGCATGCAAAAGAGATTTATCGCGAACCAGTACTGGGTCTAAAGGTATTGGCCCAATGCACGCTTGCTTTGCTTACTTTAGTTTGCTTTGCTTTACTTTGAAGGCTTTTATGGCCTAATGGTAGCTTTGAACGCTGTCATAGTAGTCAGCTGATTTTCAATGCGCGCAAATATACCCGCCATTCTTTGTTGTGCCAGCAAGTATAATTGTGAATTTTAGTTAAAATATATGTTATTAAACAATTATTTGTTACTAAGAACATTATTTTTTACAGATACCTTGCTTTTTTATCGTTCCGGTTTTGGTGAAGCTGCATTTGGCTGCGCCACTCACCACCCGTGTTTATAAGACGTAATATTCAATTGGAGGTAAAAGAGTTTATATTAAACAATTATTTGTTGCTAACAACATTATTTTTTTTCAGATACCTTGCTTTTTATCGTTCCGGCCACCAGATTCGTTGGTTTTCATAATGTTTCATTTGGCAGTACAAAATGTTGACTCGAAATGCTGAACAAGTTTTGAGAATTTTCCTAATTTTAGCGAAAATGCGTAAATTAAAACTGCGATTAAAACAGAAGCGCCGATTTTGGGTTCGGAAATTGTACTTAGAGCGACACAAATATGGATTGTTTGAAAGTTCATTAAGAAACTTGGCTGCAGATGAGGAGCAGTTTAACAAGACATTAAGAATGCCCTTTTCGTTATTTAATGTGCTGCACGAATTTCTGGAGGCTTCGCTGACCAAATATTCAATCAGAACACCAATATCGAGCCGCTGCAGACTATTTATAACCCTGATGTAAGAGAAAATCGGTTTTACTTAATAGTATACGTATAATTTTCCATATATGTATCTGGTTTTATTTTTTTGTTGCAGATATTTGGCTCACGGTGGCACTCGGCAAATCCACACAATAGTTCACAGGATCGGCCTGACGACTTTCAGGAAGATTACGTTGGAGACATGTATGACCATATGGGATCTGTTAGCTGACCTGTATGTGGCGACCCCGTCAGAAACGGAATGGGGACGTATTTCCAATGAGTTCAAGTCGCTGTGGAATATGCCCAACTGCGTTGGTTCCATCGACGGAAAGCACATTAATATTACCTGTCCAGCGAATTCAGGGTCGATGTACTATAATTACAAAGGCAATTATAGTATCGTGCTTTTGGCCGTATGTGATGCCAATTATACCTTTACCTGCGTTGACATCGGAGCATATGGAAGTCAAAGCGATGGCGGTGCCTACCACTTTTCAAAACTGGCAGATGCTATTGAAAATGATAGGCTCGGCCTTCCACATGATCAGCCTCTGCCAGGAGAAACCGAACCATTTCCACATTATTTAGTAGGAGATGCTGCTTTTCCCTTACGGCGTTATTTAATGCGACCATATCCGGGTAGAGGTATTCCAGAAGAGCAAGAGTATTTCAATAAAAGACTCTCTCGTGCAAGAAGAGTTATAGAAAACGCATTTGGAATACTCACTGCCAAATGGAGAATATTGAGAACGACGCTATGCATGGCCCCGAAAAATGCAGAACAAATAGTGAAAGCTTGTATTGTCTTGCATAATTTTATTAAGCTTTCGTGTGCAAACTATGTAGCAAGCGATTTTGTTGATCGCTACGAAGAGGATGCCACCATCGCTGGCTCATGGCGAAACGAAGTAGTTCCATTGCCCTCAATAAGTAGGGTGTCATCGAACCGAGGCAGTTCAAATAATTATGATTTAAGGGATGCTCTGAAGACACATCTTTTTAACAATAAAATTTAAATAATTACTACTCACTGAATATGCTTTGTTTTTATTATTTAAGATAGAAAACAAAAATTTGAACTCACAGTATGAGGGCACTTATTGGTAATGTTTTAAATGTCGTCACATCTTTCAGGTTTTTAAATTAATTTTTGTTCAAGGTAAGTATGGCGTTAACATAACATATATTTCATTCAGTCTTTTAAGTTAAAATAAATTCAATTTTTATAATTTTTATATTGAGCATAGACGTATTGAAGTACGTCCATTTGAAAATCTAGGCGGCTCTCTTCTGGGACCTTCTCAAACACTTCGCCAATCGCACCCAAGAAATTGTTGTGTGTTTTTTTTCGACTATCCACAAACTGACTTACTTCGTTGACTAGATCGTTAAAGGCGGCGTTCTCATCGTTTTTTTTCTTTTGTCTCTTAGCCGGCGTTGGGGCAGTGGTTTCTTGCTCTTCTATTATAATGTTCCCACTCTCGCCTATTTGGAATCCAAAGGAAGTATCCAGTATATCTGGTTCTTGTCCGAGAACTTCTGGCGTTTGGGAGACGATGTTTGTTGTTGTCCTTAAAATATGTACATATAAATTACAATTTAAAATATAAATACTTGTTGTACAAATGTAAAGTACACTTACTGTCTGGGCTTGACCGTGTCTTTCAAAAACAACATAGCTTCGTCGTAATAATAATAATAATAAACACGGGTGGAAGTGGCACAGGCAAATGAAACTTTATGAAAAC